AAGAGTGAATAAGTATTATTAAACTCACTAAATAATGTATTATAGACTGAAGACAGAGTGAGATAATCAATCTATTCTCACTGTTATTATTATTATTATTCTTTCATTATACTTATATACAAGCGGAGCTTATGATGAGTTCTTGCATGATGTTAAATACAGATTAAGTATTAATTATACAGGAGGAAATACAGGTGTTGAGACCACGCCAAGATAACAAGAACATAGGAAAATACAAAGAAGTGACAATTAGATACATGTGATAATAACTTCTCAGCCCAGGAACATAGAGCGATTCATTGAAGTGATTTGTACACCTCTGTATTTATTAGAAACCTGAGGTGCTTGAGTTCCGGATTTAATGTATTCTCTGCGGGTTTCGAACCCACGCGCCTTGGTTTCCCACGCCAAGGCGCTACTGAGTGGCCGCATTAATCATTCAGCCACCGGGGCCTATTCTCACTGTAGTATTTTAAGTTTATAATAAAGTTACTTAACTTCAGACTGTGAGATTAAAAGATCTGAAATATCAGAGTATTCAGATGAGATATTCAAGTTATCAAGATTTAAATAATTCTCATTCTCAATAACTGTTAATTCTTGCTTATTAAGCTTATGAAAAGAAATCTGATCAGAGATATTTTTATTTTCAGATAATTGATTTTAAGTCTCTTTATTAATCACAATATTCTGATAATCAGAATAATTTTTATAGAGATAGATTAATTATTGAGTAACAGCTTCTTTATAAATTATGAAATCTTGATAAAACTGATATTATAAGCAGAGATCTGTATTTGAATTTAAAGACTTTAATATAATAATATCAAGATTCTTAGAAAGAAGTGAGAGAGTGTTATAAATATAGTTAGTATCTCTAAGAAAGTTAATAATATAGTCTTTATACTTATACTAATGTTCTCTGACTTAGACTGACTGTGTGACTGTGTCTGAGATCAGAATCAGATTTTTTAATAGTCTTATTACTAATTTAACTGATTTCATTACACAGTTTTAACATTAGATAGTAGTTTCATACTGTCTCAGTGAGACTTACTGTCTACTCTTATCACATTTTTCAAATAAGATCATGATTTTCACTTCTCAATTTAAATTATTTTTATTGCTTTAAATGACTTTAAATCTCATTTGAGTATTATCAAAAAGTGTTACTTTTTAAAAAATTAAAAATAGTCTAAAAAAAACCTTAAAATGTCTAAAAATAGTAACTTTATACTAAGAATGAGACTAAATGAGATTAAATGAGATCACTTTCTCATTTTTTTCAAGTCATGGTTTCATTTTAAAATCTGATATATAGTCACTTTGCATGTTTTTTTGATAGTCAGTCTCAGCAGGATTCACGCCAAGAAATGTATGAGATCAGATCAAATGAGATTAAATGTGAAATTCATAATCTCAGCAGCCAGTCTACTCTGACTTGATAAACCTTAATGAAGATATATATATATAAAATTAAAATCTCTTTAATCTGACTGAGAATAGAAAGATCTGAATCAAGATTACTGAGATCAAGATTATTCTCTTAAGAGAATAAAAACAGCTTATTAAACAGCTGTCTCAAATCAACAGTATAATAATAAGTATAAATATTATCTTAAAGATTTATTCTGAATTAGTGAATTTAATAATAATTACAGATCTTCATCTATAAATCTTCAAGTGTATAATGAAATTTCTACATATACTATTAATTATCAGAATTAACAGCTGAATCTGTAAGATAAGTAGAACTCTGAGAATTTATCAGAGAGTCTGAGATAATTGCAGTCTATAACTGATTATATTTCTGAAGAATTATAAGAGCTTCTATATTTAATATATTAATTAAGCTTTCAGATTATATAGAGTGCTGAGATATTAAGAGACTACTAACTTTTTTATTAAATTAATTAATGAACAGATCTGCAGAGCTCTGAGAAACAGAGCTTTAAGAAGTTAAGAGTAAGAAAAACAATATAAAAAATATCTATAGCAGAAGTATATCTGTAAAAGTGAAATAAAGTTAACTTAAGAATGAGTTGAATAATAATATAGATAATTAATGAAAGACTGAAGAGAGATCTATAGAATCAGAAGATAAATTAATTATTAAAGATAGCAGTCACAGCTATTTTCTCAATTAAGTTAAGAATAAAGTTAATGAGAAATGTTCTTTATAATATCTAATAATATAGTGAGCTCTTTAAATGATAATTTTCTTTTTACAGACTGCTGTTAATAAAGATATATCAGAACTATAAATCTTACAGTGATAAAACTTAATCTTAGATAATATATCTATTTCAATAGACTATTCACAGGCTCAAGAGACTGCTGTTAATTATATAAAGTATTAATATATCTAAGATAATGAGAGAAGTTCAGACTTATTTATTATAGAATCTGTGACTGTAGAAGAATCTGATTTCACTATATATATTTATTTACAGTTCTATACAGTGTAAAGAGATAATCAGTGATAGAAAAGATATAATAAGAGAAGATTATAATATCTGAGTTCTCTGAGTGCAGTATTAAAGATAGATAGCTGTAGAAGTAGTAAAATACTGTAAAGAAATAAATTAATTAAGAGACTGATTTCATAAGCAGTGAATACAGACTTTTAATATGTTATTCATTCTTGAGAATCTATAAGAGATAATTGATTAAATATATTATCTATTCAAGAATCTGTACAGAGTAGATAGTTAATAAGATATGTAATCTATTATTCAAGAATCTGTACAGAGTAGATGATATAATTGATGAGATGAAAGATAAATATGTTATGAGTGTGTAGAAGTTATAGTGCAATGTCACAGAATTGCACTTCACTTAATTCTATATCAATCAGTGAGCTGTATTCACATGAGAATCTTCAAAAAGAAAATTCTTCACCTTTTAATAACCAGGGTTTTCATTATATATTTTGCTTCGCTTCCTCCGCAAATTATTCAACTGAAAACTGTATGCGTTTCCTGCATCTGCGACTAGGCTATCAGTGATTGATTCATCTTTGCATGTGATGCAAAGAAAGTTGAGTGATGCTAGCTCGGGCCGGAAAAACAGCTCCGCGTGGTTCCAACCACACTTCAGTTTTGATCCATGGCAGTACCTCATTAAAACTACATACACATCATCTCTACACCTCTCATAATATTGATTTTTCATATTTTTCAAAGGTTTTAGCTCATTCTAGCTCATTATAATACTAATTTTAATACTAATTCTAATTTTCAACTCTCTAATCTATCTCTACACTAAGAAACTGAGTGTTGGGGGTGGTCGGACTGTATTAGTAATATGTGTGTAGTGGATATATATTTTAGAGAGAGCACTAAAGTTGAACGTGTGTTCAGAAAAGTGAGTCAAAAGTTGGCACCATGTTCAACTGTAACCCTCATGCTAGGTGCCGTTTAGGTTATCAAACATCACGAACTACTCCCTTGTGATGCTCATTGGATATATGGTTACTGATTGACATGATTTCCAGTTGGAAATGATACCGGCGAATGAGACTTTTTTGTAATTAGTGGCTATGTAGATTGGAATCGGCGATATCGTCAATCCGATAATTATCTCTTTCTGCCCATTCAAACAAAGCTCTATCAATTACACCATATCATTTTTAAGGCGATAATCCTTGGAGTGGTGAATAATTCCAACCTTGCCCAAAAAAACACGGATCAACGTTTGTCCGCGGTATACATCACAAGACGCAGCCAAGACAACCGGTTATTTACGTGAATGTTAATACTTGCATTCTGCTCACAGCTCACCCAAGTGCAATGCCCCTTCAAAAATGATTTCTTTTTTCTCTCTGAGCTGAATGAGCCCCTCATCTCGAATTTGACACTGTAAATAATCACCGTAGAAATGGACGCTATGAGATGTGAATTAATGCTTTTCATAGTTAACCTCACCGCTAATATTTGACGCTCCATACACAAAGAAATCCTGTAAATTTGCGAACGGCACGGAAGAGCCAACGTGTTGCAAGAACAAGGTTGCTGTGTATCAAAGCTGAGAGTGCCAATTCAAGCGGTAAAAGGGTTAAAGTGACTGAAATGATGGAAAGGATTGAAAGGTGTGAAGAAGGTGCGGTGGATTTGAGAGATCAGCTCGAGGTTATAATCAAGACAAATACATACCTCTTTCATTCTGACTATTTTAGGTATTTAGAGTATTAGGAAAATGTTATCTCAGCAAGCTCAGACACTTCTCCAGATATTCATTACTGTTTTAACACTGAATTGATGATTATATCATGAGCTAATCTCAAATAAGCAATAAGCTAATTCAAATAGTAAAATCAGATTATGTGAGTGATGATATCTTACAAAGTATCTGAGAAGAAACAGTTTCTGATTATTAATAATATAGAAAGAATTTACTCAGTATTCTGAGTATAAAAGAGAATTTCAACTTAACTTCATAGATTCATCATTTCTATATTATCTTAAAATCTTAAAATAATAATGTTCTTATAATGTATCTGATTTTTATATTCATATCTTAAGTTCTTAGAATAGAAGTATTATCTCAAAGTTGACTAGTGTATTTTTGAATACAGGAATTTTAATTCAATTTCTCATATAAAAAAAAACTCTTAGAAATTCTGAGATTAAAAAATATAATCATTTTCAAGAGTATATATCTATCTTAAATATAGATTTTTTTGAAATATTAAAGAAATATTTCTATTCTTCTTCTCTTTAGCTATAAGCTAAGGTGATTTTCAAATCTTAAAGATATGTGAATATATAGTAATAGAAAGTCAAAGTTGAAGAATCTGAAAAATCCTTATAAATCTCAGGAATCTTCATTGAAGATGGAACCATTTCTTCTCAGACTCTCTGGTGAGGATTGCTCTGAGCACATGACTTGTATCAAAAGTAGGTTAGTGTCATGCCGGATTAGTCTGCAACCTGTTCAAACCGAGCCAGAGGTCTGAGCCCGCTGAGATAAGGAAAATGTTCAGGAAAACACGCTGTCACATGATGAAAGATTGCTGTGTCAGCAATTGTCCCACCAAACCAAACCCCGCCATTTACCGAAATGTTCTGGAGCAAATAGTGAATTTCATCAAGACTGGAGGAGAGCTTTGCACCCCATATCTGATACTGTTAAGTTAAGACCTCAAGACTTTTTCCTGGTGAGACCCAATACGCATTAAGGCTTCATCGGCCAACGTATATTTAGGCTAACTAAACTATGTCAAACAGATCCTTACCTACTGCACTTTCTCGACAAGTCGTTTTGTTATAATGCCTACATTGACAGAGTGCCATCAAATTTCAGAAGAGGGAAACGAAAAACTCAAGAAGTTACAAGATGCCATTTTGACTGGCAAAGCAGTTGTTGAGATGACTGAGAGCAATGGGAATGTGAAATATGCGAATGAAAGCCTTAATGATTATGTTGTTCCTCTTCTAGAGGCCTTGAAGCTCAGTGTAAGTGAAAATCTTTCCAAACCAGACATTAGTCTAACGCCCCGCTTCAAGCACTTCGGCTACACTGCATGGCGAATTTCCACGCGTATACCCATCGCCAACAAAACCGGTCCTGAATACATTATCCCGATCAACAAAATATCCGGCGACCCATGTCTGCTTCCCGGTGGGTCCCTAGATCCTGGGACATATATATACCATGACGGGACTGGCGAGCTTCTTCCAACACTAGTGTGTCTCTTTGTCGGTCGTCCACGGTAGGCCTGAGATCGCAAGTATTAACGTTAATATTCATCGGGTATGAAGACTGCAGTTGGCTTGATACTGGTAATGCTGTGCGGGTAGAATTTGACAGTCAGCATTGAAATTGGGTAGATCCTCCGTTTGCATATAGCGTGACTGATTGAAATGTGATTGATTGTATATTTACCAAAGTTCCCATTTGCATGTATCCCGTTTTGCATATACATAGAAGGGTCAAAAGGGGTAGTTGAACGTCCCGCCTCATCGTCATATGGCAAAGTCCCTATCTGCATATAACTGGAAGGGTCGAAAGGGTGAGTTGGATGTTCCACTCCTCTAGCACTTGGTAAGGTCCCCATTTCCATGTATACTGAGGGGTCAAAGGGGCTGATTGGATGCTCCTCTGTGCTTTGAGGGTAATCCTGGGAAGGCATCGACTGCTCTATATTAGTATTGTATGATTCAGAAGAATAATTTCTAGAAGGCATCGGCTGCTCAATATTCGTATTGTATGATCCAGAACCGTTATCTCTGCGCCCTGGATTCACTGCCTCTAAAGAATGAGATAGGTTGGTCGCAGCATTTGCCAGAGAATCCAGTCCGCTAGACTGGCACGAACTCGGGGAATTCCTTGTTTGGTATCGAGGCAGATTCCCATCGGTGCCATAGAGGGCTGTCGAATCTGGATAGTCCATTTCAGGGGGATGAAGGTTAGGTGCCGATGGGTTTTCAGAATTCTGCGTATCATTGGGTACTCTGGCAGCGGTTCCTCCAGAGAATCGTGGCCTGATTTCTCTAATGATACGGGGTTGTGGAACCAAACGACGGCGTCTGGCTGCGTAGGAGGACGAGCGGGATTGGGGGCTTTCAGGGCAACGTCGTTTATTTTGCCTGCGTCCTACATGATGTGTGAGTAAAGAACATCCCCTTTGAACAGTCGGTCCTCACCATTGTATGTTGACTGGCTCAACTCAACCCAACATGAAACTTTTTTGAGGGTATCAAGTATCTTTTTTTGATCTTTGAGAAGGGAACAAAAGTTATGAATATCTAGATAAGTCAGAGCATCAAAGGATCCATACGCAAAGGATATTGCTATCTCTATTCCAGAGGTGTTACACACATTCTCAACTGCCAGTTGTTTAGTTCCACGCTTGAGCGCGATGTAAGCAGTTTCAGTGTCAATGAACCTGGCCACGCGTTCCACGTAATGTCTAAAGTTCCCATTCTTACTCCTGGCTGATGACGGTATTCTGGACACATCATCTAGCCTTGTGCTTCCTGCTTGTTGCAGATTGCTTTCCCATTGATGGAAATCAAGTGCTAGGGATTGCTGAGCAAGGCACTGGATGAATCTTTTCTTAGGCTCTGGTGTGTGCTTTCCGGTAATGCTTTTTATATGGTCAAGGCGACAGTCTTCACTCCATAAATTCTCAAAAAATCCTTCGACTATGTTGTGTGGACTGTGTTTCGAGAATTGGCAGATGTCATTGAGTTTTTCTTTTATCTTCTGTAAAAGACGCTGAGCCCGAGGCGAGGGAGGGGAACTGGAATTGGAAGAGCATGTCTCTGAAAGTACAGCACCCATCATAGGTTGCGTCTCATCTTCGGGTACTGAATTCTCCTTTTCAGAAGTGGAATTTGGAGCAGTGGGTTGCTGAACTGATCCAGGGCCCACAGAAACGGAACAGATCAAACCATCTTCATAAGCATTGTCTAGAGTGCCAGTGGTTTGCTGAAGCAATTCGTTGTTGATAGGAGTAGGAGAAGAGTGGAAGGAGCGAGTAGCAGTGTGCACCTGCAGATAGGATGCACTGGAAGGGTGTCGAATAACTGTTACTCCAACTCATTCTGCAATTGTCTCGAGAGCAAGAATTACATCCATGCGATGGACCCTTAGCAAGTCTGGAGATACTCGCAGTAAGGCCTTCAAAATTGACAGTATTCCCGAATCAACTGTCATCTTGGGCTGTTGAACTCAAGGAAAGGAGAAGAACAGAGCTCCGGCAAGAATTTGACAAGGCGAAATGAGCCAGATGAGATCAGCGGCAACGCGAATATTGGTAGCATTGTTTGCCGCCAACGAAATCTTGTTTTATTGGTAGTTCACTAGCCAGCCCGCCAACGCTAGCGGAGCAGCCAGCGAACAAACTATTGTTTTATTGGTAGTTCGTTGGTGAGCCCGCCAACGAAATTTTGTTTTATTGGTAGTTCACTGGCCAGCCCGCCAACGCTGGGGGAGCAGCCAGCGAACGGCGGGACAGATAGGCTTATGATTGGTCTGTATAAGGAGGCTAAATTTCCAAAAGCACAGGGATCGTTGTTTTGTGGCTGACTTGCCACAGACGGGTCGTTTCCCGCCCCCGTACCAACGGTCCAGACTACTCGGTTTCTCCTCGCCAACGCCGCATAGTAGCAGCTGCGCCGTGATGGCCTAGACTCCAGACAAGAGTGATATTGAGCCCGAAAATGAGCCTTTTGGACTTCCTTTTCCCATTAAGGACAGCTTTAACAGATATCACAGCGTGTTCGATGCTGCTGTTGTGTACTCGTCACCTAGGCTATTGTAGTACATGTGGGATGGTGGCTGCCACGCAAAACCCAATGACCAGAGGTGCTACCAGGGGTTGGACTGTGTTGAGGGCATGGGAAACTTGTGTCGATCACCCGGGAGAGGACATCTCAATCCGTGGAAGGCGAGTGCGATATACATGTCCAGTTTGAGTCCATGCCATCCTCATGCAAGGGATCACTACCTTGATACTAATTGAGGCCGACTTTGCACTTCAATGCTTTTGACTATAAGAGATGCTTCACCGCTCGCTCGTTGTTTTGTTCGAATACAGGCTGCTCATCCACGTTGGTTCGCACTCGGATACACGCAAGGAGAAAATTTGCTGCCATCGTTTCATGCGAAGGGCGCGATTACTATTATCATACAAAGTGGGTTGACATATTATTCCTTTGCCATATGAGTGTTTCAATTTGAGTTTGAACCAACCTGCGCCGCGTACATTGGCAGTCTTCTTACTTGTTGTCTCTGCTGGGAGTCACTGACGTAGAAGCAGAACAATGCGCATGACAATCATCGCCCGAACTAAAAACTTTTCAGTCGAAGTTGAGCACACAGTCCAGCGGAGCACCGTTGCCAGCTTGCGGGGAGCACCTGTAAAATCCTCTAGTTTTGAGATCATGCCAACGGTACATGTCCTTCCTCCCCAGTATGTGGTAGCTTTCGCTAACAGAACCAGGCTTCGGCCCCTGTTCTCCAACTTCTAAAGCGTGGAGACAGCTACTTTGTCAGTGCAGGCACTGGCAAGTTACTCCCAGCCTCACTACCCGATCTTATGAGCTCGTGGGCGGGGGCTGCCATGGCGTTTGAGGCTGGCTATATCAGGGATGTAATGCGATACATCCGGTTGTACCCATTTAGTAATGGCCACCTGCATATCACTGGTGAAAAGACTGATTTTCCTTGCACTGTTACACTCTCTTTTTCCGGATCACATACCCACTCCATAACTATCCCGTCCGAAGCTCTGAATACGTGGCCTGGGCGGATCATACGGTGGGAAAACAAAAGACTATCTTCGGGGTGGGAGTGCACATGCGATTGGAAGATTGGTTCGGCTGTCATTATGAGCTTTGTGATTGGATTATGGACGGACATGTGGAGGTACATACATGAATGCTGCGATTGGTGTCGGCGTTGTATATAATTTCTCAGTTCCCCTGTACAGCCCTCCATCTCTCAGTGGCCAACCTGTCATTGTTTTAACCTTACCCGGCCGTGAGGTGTTGTATATAAATGGTAACTTACTTCTTGCCAATCTTTCGCCGTCCGCATCTCTCTTTCTACAGACTCTTCTATGTCTTGCACACCTGCAAACTGATAGACAACTCTCACTTTTTAAAATCTTGCTGTTGGTCGTCCTGTCATTACTCTACACCTCCCATTTTGAATATGCGCATCAGGCGTGACAGAATTCCATCCCCCCTCACCCTCCAGAACGAGACGCCGTTGCAATATCTTCCTTCGTGCAGGCTTCATTCTCTTGCATCGGCTAATAACGAAAAGGAATTGCTTTTCCCCGAGGATCAGGGCCCCGAATCTTTCTCGTACGATTTAATGGCTTCGATGGATGACCGTTCAAGGCACGAGAAACACAAGGCCCGAGCTTGGAAGGATCGAATGGCATGGGAACGGTGGGGTGTACGGCCACAGGACGTAGTACGCTATCGCGTATCGTATTTCAAGAGTATCCTGCTTGCCGATGGGACCATTGAAATGGATGACAACGAGAAAGCGGATATTCCTGGATCCCGCCAGCGGTATTGCATTTTCGTCGGTTTCGAAATGAAACCTCGTGAAGGATTGATGGTGCTAAGATTCCTGGTTTCCAGTGAGGATGGGTTAAAGCCATGGACGAAACTCGCGCCGCATAATTACACCCTTCGGGACTTGGGCATTCGACTTGACGAGAGTAGTGGATCAACGTCACCCACCACGGAGTTTGAAGATGATTAGGGCTGTTTTTTGTTGGTCTTGTGGATCCTCGCAAAAAAAAAGTATGTTACTATTTTGGTAGGGGCAGCCAGTCCAATAAATTGTTTCAATATACTTTGTGTTTTTGATTTTTGATTTTTTGATTTCCTTGTAAGCCCTGTAGTAAGAGTTAGGCAGATTGGTATAAGAATGCTTGATTGCCCCAGCATGTCTGCCCTGGATTGTTCAACCAGAACCTTGCTACTACCGAAGTTCTTCCATTTCCGAGGCACGCGCATATAACGTCGTCAGCTTTATAAACTATCACAAGAAGATAGGTAAAGAATCCCTTACACACCACAATGCACATCTCGGGGTTTGCTCACGATAGTAATCCATCAGGTACCGCAATGGCAACGGACATATACATGTGATCTAGTGTATTTTGCCATGTTCCATAGCGCGAATCAATGTTTTTAAGTTTGTCAATAAAAATCCCAACTTATTGAAAGCGATCCCCAATCTCCGGTGACGGGCTGGTTAGGCTAAGATTCTTAATTTTCAGTAAGGATGGGCTAGGTTTTTCCAGTATTTTTTACCGAATTCTGATACCCAGTATCGGATCCACCTTGCAAGTCAGGCAATGATATTAAAAGAGCCGATTGTCCCAGTTTCCTCCATGCTACCCACCGTCTTCTTACGCTTCCTTGGAGACAAAGATATCTTGTGCACCTTCCTAAGAAGATGTCGGGTTAGTTCGTCTATAATTTTTGTTGATGGGGTACGCTAACTTTTCCTATCAGATCAATGCTCACTGCGACTCCCACCAGGGAACCCACGCAAGCGGAAAAGCGAGGATAACCTTCATGGTCAGTTGAAAAAGGCTCCGCCGATGGACACGCCCCTATCCAATCCTGTCCAAGCAACATCCACCCAGAGTGAATCGGCTACTGAAGATACCCCCGCCGACGATGTCCTCAGCATCGAGAATATGGCCCAAATGGCATCGAACAGTGGGAGTATATTTGAGTCTCCCTGGGCCAAAAAATGCAGCCAGAAAGCAGTGGAGTGTATCATCTGTTGTTGGGCTGCTGATAGCAGCTTGATACCCCAGGAGGATATAGATCGCTGGTGCGATGAGTTCCCATTTCCTGAAATGACATTACTTTCTGTCCTTGCATGGCATTTTGGACCTGATAAATTTGGACAAGACGACCTCCGCTCATTCATATCTTCCTTTCCAAATGATGAGCTTAGGGATATTTGGAGCAGGAACAGATTTCGGCGGGACTGGAGTTTCAAGGCTTTCGAGGATTTTGAATATACGCTGCGCAATGCGAAGGTACGTGTAGGCCGAGTTGAAGATGAATAATGGGGCTAATTGAAGACAAGGAAAATATCAAACAGCATGCTTTTCAGCATCCTGCTTTTGCAGGAATAGCCGTACAAAGCCACGAAGTTCAGAAGGTGATTGAGTTGGATTTACAAGAATGGCTACAAGATTTTCATATGCTGTAAAAGGAAGAAGTCGGCCAATCATGGATGTAAATAATTCGCCCCTTTCTGCTTCTTGTTCACCATCTTCATTGACTCAATGTATTGTTGTTACTGGGTGTTATCTGGAGACGAGCTGAGGGCTATCATAAAGGGGTGGAACTGGAACCAATGTATCAAGCGGGATTGCGCCGCGGTCGCGAACCTTGGGGATATTAGATGCAGGTTGATCGCGTTCTAACTAGTTATAGAACATGTTGGGGGTCCCGCGGTTGGTCGGCCCTTCTACCAGCAGTGCGCTGGTGGTGATTGAGCTCTTTTGCCCCAGTAGCCTACAGAACAACACCTCTTATGTAATCTCTCTCTTCGGCCCGTGAAATTCCGAAGGCATGAGATAATCATGTGGCGAAGGCAGCCGCTACTTGTCCAGTGGAGTTACCCACTAACCGTGCCATGCTTACTCACTCTCTGTAGTGAGTGCGCCACAGCGTACGGAAAACCACACTGTAAAGAAAATATTTTCAATATCTTCATTCTTCATCTTCAAATAATCATCATTAATTATAACCATGTCTAAATCTTCTAATTACACTGAGAAGCAGTTGCAAAGAGCTGTTAACATGTACAAAAGCAATTCAAAATTAAAAATCATGTCTCTGTTGCAAGAATTCAAAGTCTCATATGCCATCTTGTATGAGAGGATCAATGGGAAGAAATCAAGGACTATGAGGGTTTCACTGAATTGAGTATTGAATGACAGCCAGGAAGAGGCAATTAAGATATGAATTCATCAATTGAACATTAATTTTTACCCACTCATCATCAAGTATATTGAAGCTGCTGTGAACAATTTCTTACTAATCTGAAGAGCATCTGACTACAAGCATTCAAACCTGGCACTGTGAGAGCTGGCTTTGCTGACTGTGAAATGTATCCAGTTAATTGTGATATAATTCTCAATTAATTGAGACCTCTTACCATTGATGATGTCCTGGATCTCAACATATACAATGGTGATGATGATGTATGTGATCACTTTACCCTGCCACCTGCAGATTGACTGTCAACTGCCTTCTTGCAATTAATCTCTTCAGAGATGGTTGCAAAACTATGTCATCAAATCAATGCAGCAGTCAAGGCCTTAGAAGATGTGAAGGATACTCTTACACCTGGTTTGACAAGGTGGTTGAACAAGATCTTCAAGAGTAGTATGGTTCAGGCGGAATTGAATGTGCACTGTGAGGATGAACTTGCAGATCATTATTGAGCAAATAGACATCAGGTCATCAAATCCTCCTGCAGGCAGGTACAAGTAGGTGAAGTTCTCACTATTAAGAATGCCAATTGCAAGATCGCGACCTGTAGAGCAGATGAGATGAAAAAGACATTCAATAAGACTCTTCAATTAATTGGAATCAAATCTATAAAATCTACAGCCACTCAACCACAACAAGATAATTCTATAGAATCTCAACTTACAGTGGATTCTACACCTTCTAATGAGTATATAGATAATCTTTATGTTATAGATAGATGTGGTGGTGGTTATTAATTAATTTTTGAAGATTACTATATTCAAAATATTTTCTTTAGAGCCGCCGAGCAAGAACCGGGTGGAGATTAATCCTATTCGATCGCGACGGAATGGTAATAAGCGCGAACAAAATAGGGGATTGAGAGAGGAAGGTCGACTATTCCTATTTAGGATTAAGGTACCACCCAACCCACAGATGTGGTAAGAGAGGGGAAAGAGCAATCGAATCGTGATTGGAAGATCCCGAAAGCTTAATATTTCTCCGAGGTCCCGAGTATCTGTTGGGCACAGCGGCCGGGCGTGCACATGACATAATTCTACCTGCACATTACGCAGTACAAGAGAGCAACTATTATAGACTAAACTTTTAACAATGATATACATCTGAGAATGGAATAACAATAGAGGGTGGGAATGAAATCCTTGCTTCTGATTTTGTTGGTTTATTTAGACGCCTCTTACAAGCTTACTTCATCTATAACTACTGTCAAGCGTTGGCGCGGCTCGTAATCCAAAATGCAACTGATGTGAACATCTAGAAAACCGTCCTCGACCTCATCGCCACCGTCTGGCGAGTGACCCCCCCGGTGAGCATACCTCCCACGTCCTTAGACACGCCGATCAAATCCACTGGTGGAAAACCCCGGCCACTCTGTGAATGGAAACAACTCACAAAGATGCAAATCCCTTTATTAAGTGGCTTTCAGAAACTGATGGAAAATCCCGGCCACTCTATGAATGGAAACCCCCCTATTGCAAATCAGGCGGGTTTCTAGGTACTGATTCAAAGAAAAGCAAAAGGACAGAGCCATAGCTGTGGGAGGACTGGAATGTGATAGGCCATATCAATAGAGCTTCTAGGCCAGAATGAATATGACTTCCTTTGGGATAGTGCCTTACTGAAATCTAGCTTCTAATAACATTTGATGTGGCTGGGCTTTCCCCTTATCTGACTGTTTGAGGACTGTGTAGAAAAAATGAGAATTGGTCGTCCTTGGCGGCGGACTGAAAAAAAAAACATCCTCCTGCTGTGTGAGTGTGTCCTCCATTCGTGCAGAAGCAACCCGTCTCGGATTTAGGTGCAAAAGTAGAGGTAGGAATGATTCAAGCGGCCTTCAGCAACATCCATTTCCTAGAATCTGTAAGTAAGTCGGGTATATCTATAGTGACAGCTCCCAGGTAAGTGGGACCTACAAGTAGACGCCCAAGGTCCTGCACAATCTGCACATTCTCCTGGAGTCATTCTTGCTGCTCAGCCGTTATGATGTTGTTATTGTATGTCCTGGCCCGATTGAAATCCAGCAGTACCACCCTTTCTCCAGGAGTGATCATGAAATTTCTAGCTTTCAGATCATTATGCATGACCAGTGCAGCAGTAATAGCTTTGATGACCTGGACAAATTTAGTCATACAATCTTTGGAAAAGGTGTCAAGATGCAATTGACGCATGTTGGGAATATATTCAATAAATATCGCACTTGGGAGCTCTGTGTCATTTATAAACATATTTAGATTTGACTGTCAAAATTCAGGTTCAAGCTTTTCCATGCTTCCATAGAATTGAGGCACATAGCCCTTTTCAGCCACGCCATGCACCTGGAGTCATTGGTAGGCAGTGGCTTCACGTTCATGAATACGCCCATGTCCGGGGTCATGGTGCTATTTGCCGGCTCTCGGTCAGCTCTATTTGATATCATCTATCAAGATAGATAGTGCTCACCACTTTCATAACGCATTCAAATCCCCGAACTGATACAAAGAAGACCGCGGCGGAGTCATTGCAGTGCAGCTCCTGATGGAAAACCACATGCCGCGGACGAACGTTGTTGATTTTCATTATGTGTGGACGAGTGAGATGAATGGTGTATAAGGTCTGCTGCTTCTTTGTTGACGGTCAAAGGTTCTGAAGGATCTCTCAGTCAGTTCTCATGGTAAGTTGCGTAGCTCCATTTTAAGAGTGCTTGTCCACCCGTTTGTACGGCGGACTATTCGCAACAGGAATGCAGAATCTAGGCAGAATCCAATGTCCCCCCAACACCAACATTTACCTTGTGATACCATTCGCGCCTTGCGTTGCTCCATCCATGCTTTGTTGCCTGCAACATGAAAAATATCCCTGTTCACCAAGGCCAAAAGCTACTTTGTGCTGGGGCTGACAAATCATCCCCAGTCGACGAAAAACAATCATTTTTATTTGGGGGTTTTGGAAGCCTAGGCATCGATGACCCAAATCCAGGAGTTGGTTCACATTTATTTGCGTTTCAGGGTATTTGCGTGCAAGCCAGCGATTGGTTCCGCGCAATAAATACAACATAAAACCGCCCCTTACTCCGATATATTCTGATCATATGCTCCATTATGCAAACATTAGCCATGGGCTGACCACAGTAGCCTTGTCGCAGATGCGTTATTCGGTGGAAACGCATACTACTGCGTATGCCGTCTAGGGATATAGTTTTCAGTTGGATCATATATGGTAACTGCTTCAGAAATTTTACACTTGTATAGTTTTATTAAACTTCTAAAAAAAATCTTTTGAGAGAAAATAGAAGAAGAGTACTACAGAGTCTATAAGACATCAGCTTATTATTATGAGATTATCTCTAAAAATTCTTTAAGAAAAATGAGAAGTCTTAAGTGATATTTCTTACTTAATATCTTTAATATATAATAAGATAATCTCTACTAGCTGTCTTATAGCTTATAATCTCTTTCTCAGCATTTTTCAAATACTTAAACAGTTCTTATAAATTCTCTGATAATAAATAATCTTCTCATTTAATAAGATATTAAAGCTTACTATAATATATTCATTTATTCAATATTTTCTTTATAAGATATTCAGTATCACTCTTAATCTTAATATTATTTAGCTAAGACAGCTCTACTCTAAAATATTACTTATAGAGCTTTAAATAGAAAATGTGAAAAATAGAATAAATTAATTTTAATTCTTTAAGTAGTTTTAACTTATATATCTGCTTACTTATTACTCTTATTACTAAGAAAGATTCTAATTATCACTTACTGAGCTTTTTATATAATTTTATTATCTTGATATTCTTTACTGAAAGTAGTATTTAATTCTCTATTAAGAACTTTATTAAAAGATGCTTTTAATTATAGTATTTTATCTACTACTTCTGAGTATAGTAAATACTTTTCATTATCTTCTTATAAATTTTATTTAAAAGTTTTAATCTTACTTTTATTTTTAATACTGAGAAATACTCTATTCTCTATATCTATTTAATATTCTGATTATCTATTTCTCTTTTTAAAATATTATTTGTAATATCACTGAGTAATAAAGAATTATATTTATAATAAGTATAGAAAGAAGATATCTTTAAAATTATATTCTTTATATTATTATATATGAATTCAGCAGTTAAAAGATATTTAGATTAATTATTCTGATAATATAAATAGAATACTTAAAGATACTATTCTAGTATCTGATTTTAGTATTCAGTCTGATTATCTATCTGTGAATAAAATATAATACTGAGAAGATGTCTTATTATAAGATAATAGTAAAAAGCTAATTAGTATTTACTAATAAAAAGAGATTCTTAATCTGTTATTAATAATTTCAGAGTACTATAATTATAAATGATAATATTTAAAAATAGATTAGTTAATTCAGAGACTTTAATCTTTTTATAAGTAGAGATATATCTGATTATCTTTATAAAGTAGTTAATAATAATTAAAATTAAGTTATATTCTTTAACTCTTATTAACTTCAGCAGATTAACTATGAAATTCATTAATAGATTTTATTATAAGCTCTTTGAAACAGATAGTAATATTAACTCACTGTATTACTTATATTATAAGATCTTTATTCTTTAATAGATATTATAAGTTTTAATATACTCTTTGACATCTATTCAGAGCTTATCTTAAATATATTTATATTTTAAAAGCTTCTCAGTCTTCTCTAATCTGAAGTGTCTTATATAAGAATTATTATAATAAATTCTTAATAACTTCTGATATATCACTCTACTATCAGAAATAAAGACTAAATTATTCAGTAGTAGAAGTTCACATTCTTCTAGTTATCAGTGACTTGATTTCTTAGCAGTACTGCTCTGCTCAGAGTCTATCTCTTTTAAGTTTAAACTGAATTCTTTCTTTTTCAACTTTTGAATTTAAGTTATAGTAGAGATATTCTTCTTCTATAACTTATTAATGAATTTTAAAAGTAGTCAAATTGAAAGATTATAGACTGTTTCATTCTTTATTAATTCAATAATTATAAGATATGATATAAGAAGCTCATAATCTTCAGTATCAGTTCTCTGTGAGAACTCAGATTTTCTTTCATCTTCTATACTGAGTTATATAGCTGTCTTTTCAGTGTTATTTCTAAGCTTCAGAGAATCTTAATTCTCTGCAGTCAGCTTCTTCTACAGTAATGATAGAGATTCTTTTATAGAATTCTTCTCTGTATTAATAATATTATAATCAGACTATTTAAATAGTGTATTAACAGAGTTAAGCTGATCTGAATAGTATTAGATATAGAAATTATACTCTGAAAGCAGCTCTACTTATCTGACTTAATATTCTATCAAGCTCTTTATTATTAAGAAATAATATAGATTTATATAATCAGTGAGAACTTACACTGAGTACTTACTATTCTAAAGATAATATTATCAGATCTTAAAGAATTTGATAATTATTAATATCTTCTAATTATGAATATTATATCTTCTCTATATAAGTAATAACTTCTTGAAGAAGAAGATTACTAATCTTTATTCATAGTATCTTATAGACTCTGTGAAAAAGTCTTCTCTTATAGATAATTTATTATCTATTTTCTCAGAGATAATTATTCTCTAATTCTTTTAATATTGAAAGATCTCTAATGTTAACTGTAAAAAGATTTCACAGATCTCATTCTCAGATACATCAGTTTCACACTGACTGAGTAAATCAGAGTTAAAGTGATTCAGTATTATAATATCTGTAAAAGCTTGTTTCAATTCTGTAAACATCTATACAGTGTCTTGAGTGAGAGTAAACAGTCTTATTTTTCTATCTTTCACACTTCTCTTTAATAGATCTGTAAGAGAGACAGTAATTTGTGAATATATATAGATGAATTATCTATAGAAATTTATAAATTCTAGAAATATCTACATTTTACAGTATATTCACAGCACTGATCAGTTCTTAATAGTGAAGACTCAGCTTCTATTCATTGAAATGCTATTCATCTTAATAATATAATCTAAGAAATTAATCTTCTGTATGTAGAATGAGTATTTTTCAGTATTTATATAGAGTTAATACTATCTCAAGTGACTCAATACTTTTTAAATATAAGTATTATGTTCTTTCTCTGATTTTAAGAAGATTAGAATATTGTTCAGATATATTATATAAAAGATATTAATAAGACTTCACAGTATCTCATTTATATAGATTTAAAAGATAACTGAAGCATTACAAAGATTAAAAGATAAAACAAGATATTTAAAATTATTATACTTAGTATGAAAAGCTGTTTTGTAAATATTATCTTTATTAATTCTGATTCTATGATAGATATTCTATATATCAATCTTTGAGAATATCTTTACTTCAGATAATTAATTAATTATCTTATTAATCAATGATAATAAATAGTGATTCTTAACTGTTATCTTATTAAGATCTCTGTAATCTATTATCACGCTCCCGGCCGCGCCAAGGCCCTGTTGCGGTTCCACACGGCTCATCGCTTTCATGTGGATGATTTCATCCTGTCTGAACCAGTTTCCAACCACTCTATGACATCATTCAGATATATCATAGAAAGATTCAATTAATAAATATAAGAACCTCACTTCTATATAAGGTCAGCAGATTACTCTTTCTTGATAATGAGACATCACTGAGATATCACTTCAGCTATTCTCACTTGTGAAATGAGAGAAGAGTATTCACTCATTATCTATATAGAATAGCTAGATACTGACTTCTTATTCAAGAAGTCAGTAATTCATCTTTTTCTTCTACAGAAATAATATACACAGAAGTTACTGTGTATCTTATACAATCTTCTTAGTATACTAAGTATCATATCTGTGATATTCTCACAATAACTCTGTAGTCTACAAGCTCACTATTCAAGCAAGATAGTCAAGCTCACTTATACAGCTTCTTAAACAACTATCTCTACATAATGCTGCTGACTAGTCACTGCTTCAGTTCTATTATATTACAATTCAAATCACTTAATCTGATTACACATTTAAATCAGTCAAGCTCTAACAGACTGATATAATCTCATACATCTGTGCTGAAACTGATCTGACTTCATTCTCTGAGAAAAATACTACATCATCTTCTAGAGTGCATACATCTCTATTATAACAGAAATCTGAGATTTCTGAACTCACTGTGTATTTTGACATGAGCTCTTCAATCACTCTATCACTGTCACAGCCTCTACACACCTACATCTATTATAAAGATAGAGAGATTAAGATCAGAGATTCACTGAGATATAAGAGAAACATTTTATCTGAATTTCACAGCTTTATCTGTACTCTTGAATGAAAATTCTGTCTTAATCTGAGTCAGTATAATACTCATGAGATATAAGTAATATACACTGTCAACCTCCTTGAAGGCATCTCTGTGATTACTTGAGTTATCAAGAAGAGAGAGCTTGAGTGTATCAATACTGTCATGACTTAGAAAGAATTCAAGAACTTTCTACTGAATTAAATTAAAGATCACTGCAACTGCAGCTTCACAGCAGCACAGTAATTCAACTCATTATATCAATGAGATGATAAAAATTCTTTCAATTTCAATGTAAGATTTGAAGAATATTGAGAGAAATTAACTGATAATTTGAATTAATTAAAAATATAGCTTTATCTTATAAAGCTGACTCATAAGATGTGAACAATGATATTATAATATCAGAGTTTATTAATTAATTGCACTGAGCTTGTCAATCTGACTTTCTGAATCTATTTGAATAATCAATTCTCTGAGAAAAAGATTAATAAGATCTCTTCTAAGTAATTAATAATGAGATCTAAATAACACTGTGACAGCTTCAGTGTGAAGAAAGTAAAGAAGAATTTCAAGTATTCTGATTCTTCACTCACTGTAAAGAAATATTAAAAAAGATTTGACAAAGATCTCTATTTCATCTGTGAAGCTGATAAATACTATATCAGTGATTGTAAGAAG